CGAATAGTCTCATCATTACACTAAAGATATCAGCATTTAAAATGGCGCCATGTGTCTTCAATTGCAACAAGAAATACACATATGGACAGCAGACGGTCGCTTACAATTTCTGAGGGAAAGAAAACATTGTGTACTGCGGGCTCAAAGCCCCCTTTATCACTGGGTAAAAGTCTATTTGAGCCCCCCCTCCTTTTTTTTAGGAACTTACAGGACAGACTACACACAAACGGACATTCCACTCTCTTTGGAGTGGCATTAGGGTCACCTTGACGTCAAGCGCAAAGACGCTTCAGCTTTAGTAAAAATTGGGAGGTCTACATTTACCTAACTTTGCAAAGACTTTCAATGCTGTAGAAAGTCTGAATTTAGTAGTATTAGTATTAGTAGAGGTTTTACGGCGCTCGCAACTGCATGAGGTCATATGAGTGCAAGAAGATTAGAGGTGTTACAAGGGAGTAACAAACATAAAAAAGAAAAGGGGGAGATAAGGACGATAGATGTTTGATAGGAAATAAGTCTGATTTTAACGCTCATCCCCGACAATACAGAACCAAGAAAAATCCCAAATAAATGTACAACACAAGTTCAAGAACAGTCTGTAAGGGATTCGATCAAAGGTCATTCGCACAATAGCCCAGCAGGGTACAAACCGATCGAACAGTGAGCCCACGAAAAGTAGGACGAAAGAACCGAGACAGGATACCTATAGTAACGATCTCAAAACACCCAATACACCGTCTGTCATTTTCTTAATTCTGCGGGCCTGGCCCAGGGATCAGAACGGCCGTCGGTCTCCTTGGGAGGCGACTTTGCGGCGTCCTCTGGGTGCCTTAGCCCCCTCTTGACACGGCTTTATGGTCACTGGGTGAGCGAGCAAAGCGCACTTTTCAACGTGCATAGTGGTCTGTCAAGAACAGACGACGTTTTGTCAGTGGGAGGGAGAGTCGCTTTTTCTCGCCTGTCGTTCAGTTTTTCTTTTCTTTTCCTCCCTTAACTTCTTTCCATCCTCTCTCTCTCTCTCTCTCTCTCTCT